TGGCAAGCACAAGGTCCCGAGTTTGATCTTCAGTACCAAAAAAAAAAAAAAGTTGTGACTGTTGTCGAGAAGAAACACACTGAATTTAAAAAGCCTATACATTACAAAAATAAAAGGCTCTGTATAGGCCAATGAACACATAGAAAGACACCACCTCATTAGTCATTAGGCAAATAGGTGTCAAAATTATGAGGAGATGCCAGCTTCATCATAACCATGAGCATGGCTGTAATAGACCATAACCATGTTGGTGCAGATGTGGCGAAGTTGGAACCCTTGTAATTATAGTTGGGAAGGTAAAATGGTGCAGCTATTTTGGAAAAACCTGGCCGTTCCTCCAAAAGTTAAATATAGAGTTACCCTATGACTGGATAAATCTATTCCTAGGAATTACAAAATAAATGAAAGTGTAGACTCCTGCAAAACTTGTATGGAAATGTTCATAGCAGCATTATAGGCAAAAATGGAAACAACTCAAATGTCCACCAGCTGATGAATGGATAAGAGATAGTATATCTCTATACAATGATATGATATTTGGCAGTGAATAGAAATGAAGTATTAATTCCTGCTACACATGGATAAACCTGGAAAATGTCCTAAATGAAAGAAGCTAGTCACAAAAAACCATGTGTCTATATGATTGAGTTTATAATAAGAACTCAGAATAGGCAAACCTATAGGAACAGATTTGATTACTGATTGCTTTGTGGTGGTGAGATGGGTAGGCATAACTGCCAGTAAGTATGGGGTTTCTTCTAGGAGGGACAAAATGCTCTAAAATTGGATCATAGTAATATTGCACACTCTGAATTATACTTTCAAATGATTGAATTTTATGGTATATTATTTTTCAATAAAACTATTTTTAAAAATATTCAGTGATCAGAAAACAAATAATTCAAAGATGGATAGATTTTCATACCCCAGGTCACTGCCGATGTGCATTCAAGGACAATCCCAGCAGTGTCCTTAGATATTCTTTTTTAAAAAATAAATTTTATTTATTTTATTCCATCCCCCCAAGCCCCCTCCCCTCCCTGTGTATAGAAGCTTTGTTTCCATTTTTTCCTTCTATTTTCGCTTTTTAGAAAGATATTCTTTGTTTTTTCTTTCTTTCTTTCTTTTTTTTTTTTTTTGGTACCAGGGATTGAACTTGGAAACTTGCGCTTGAGAGGCATGCGGCAGAATTACTGAACTAAATCCCTTGCTAGAAAGATGTTCTTGATGTGAATTTACTTTCCATTAAAATAGCTAAACTTGCAGATTGTAGTGCTTTCTCAGTAGGTCAGCTTTTTCTTTGCTGTGCATTATTTGCAAGGCCTATTCAGTAGCTTTTGAATTCAATAGTAAACAGATTTAGTTTGAAAACTATGCGTCTTTAGGAAAGTATTACCCAGTATCCCTGGTTGGTGCACTTTGGTAAGTGGAGCTTTAGCAAAGGGAAGAAAAGCTCCACCTACTGTCTTGGGTTTTTCTGGCTAAGTAAAAGGCATGGATCAGAAGGATAATCTTTGGAGGGGGATTTCATTACATATCCTGTTTATTGTATAGAGGCTCCTGAGACTCACCTTGCAGGTTAACCATCTCAAATCTACCCTTTTCCATTCTGTGATTTTTAGGGGTTTCCAAATGTTATTAACATCTACAATAACAGAACTGGAGGGAGATTTTATAAAATGTCTAGTTTTACCCTGGATTTTTTTTTCAAATGTCTGTCTTGCCAGTAACAATGAATTACCTTAGTTTGTCACTACTCCTGAGGTGAATATATTAGTGAAACTTTATTGTTATAAATTTAATAATTTGCTCTGTTTCCATAGATCTGAGTATATAGACTGAAATTTTAAAAAGTCATATCATGTGTAAACTGTTTTAATTTTCCTTGATAGTTTTCATTTATATAAAAAGCATCCCTCTTCCAACCCATATTTTTTTATTTTTTTTTTGTACTGGGGATTGAACTCGGGACCTTGCACTTGCAAAACAGGCACTGGAACCACTGAGCTAAACCCCGGCCCAACCCATGTTTAATTGTGATAGTAATTTGAACTCTAATATTTTATAGGAAATATATTGAAGCAGAGAGAGATTTTATTTATTTATTTATTTTTTATTTTTTGAGACAGGGTCTCACTATATAGTTCAGGCTGGCCTTGAACTCTCTATTATAGCCCGGGCTTGCCCTGAACTCACATCAGTTCTACTGCCTCAGGCTCCTGAGTGTTGGGATTACAGGCAAGCACCACTATTCCCAGCAAGTAGAGAGATTTTAAAGGAAGGTATTTTGCTGAGTGGAAGTGAAGGAGTAAGAAGGGAACTGAAGTTGGCAAAGATAGAAAAGCTAGTGAGGTCAAGTGAGAAATAAAAACATACATAGGGATCAGTGGTAACTTTAAAGATGAAATATATTTGTATTAGTATTAGGCTTTTCTTTTGTTTTAAGATCAGCTTTATTAAAGTGCAATTTATATATAATGAAGTTAACTGAGATACAATCCAGGATCTGGAGGTGTAGTTTTGGACAGAGCACTTGTCTAGCTGTGCAAGGCGCTAGATCCCATTCCCAGCACCAAGAAAAAAATACATATGTAAATAGTTCAGTGAGTTCTGACAAGTGTGTACAGTTGTATAATCACCTCCATCCATAATCAAGATATGGAACATTTATATCTATCAAAACATTTCCTTTGTAAAAAAAAATCCCTTCGTATTCATTAGTCAGTTCCTTCTACCTGTAGAACCATTAATCTGTGTTATATGTGTTGGCACATACAGTTTTGCCACTTTTAGAATTTCATATAAACTGAAATCATATATTACTGGCCATTTATGTCTGCCTTTTTCTCATTCAACATTATATACACTTGAGCTTCACCCATATTGTAAATTTGTATACAAATATTGATACCGGAATAGTATTCTTTTGTCTGGATGTGCTACCTTTGTTTTTCCGGTACCAGCAATCAAACTCAGGACCTTGCGTGAAGCAGGTGCAGTGCCACTGAGCTGCATCCCCAGCCCCACTTTTTTTTTTTTTCCATCCATTCATTCATTCACCACTTTGAATTTTCCAGCTTTGCCAGTTAGCAATAAAGCCACTATTAGCACTCACATCTAAGTCTTTGTGTGGGTGTGGGTCTTCATTTCTCTTCTGTGTATACACAGAAGTGATATTGCTGTTGCATGATAAGTGTATGCTTCATTTTATAGAAAAAATACCAGATTGTTTTCCAAAGCTGTTATACCATTTTGCATTCCTGTGTTTGGTAGTTCCAGTTGCCCCACATACTTGTCCTACTCAGTCTTTTGAGTTTCAGCCATTCCGGAGGGTATGTAATAGCTCTCTGGGAAAGTTTCCCTAATGATTGAGAGGGAGTTCTTCATCTTTATGACACTGATATGGTAATATTACTTGATCTGCAGTTGATTCCCAGTTTTTGTCACTTGTCCTAATAATAGCCTTTATAAGCTTTTCCTTCCCTTGGATTCCGTTCAGAATCATACATTGTGTTTGGCTGTCATGTTTCATTTGTCTCTTTTAATCTTCAGTAACAAAAATTCTTTTGTTTTTCTAATACCTCAACTTTTGCTTAGTTTTTAGTGTTTGCTCTTTGTTTGTTTGTTCGTAACTGGGTCTCACTATGTAGCCCATGCTGGCCTTGAACTCATAATTCCTCCTTTTTCAGCCTTGTAGTAGTTGGGTGATAGGTATGTAGTCTTGGTCATTCTTTAGTATGTTCAGACACATGGTTGTTTTTGTTATTTTGTTTTAGCTTTGGTTTTTGGTTTTTTGTGGTGCTAGGGATGGAACCCAAGGCTTCATGAGGCACTCTGCCACTGAACTATACCCCTAGACCTATAGTCAATTTTTTTTGTTTTATTTTGTTTTTTTTTTCCCTATAGTCAGTTTTTAATCTGGAATTTATATTATCATCTAGCATTCCAGTACAAGCTATTCCATCATTACCAGACATGGAACATCCTCCCTTCTTTTTTTTTCTCCATAGCACTTACCATATTTGACATTTAATTTACTTTACTCATTTGTTTTATTTTGTGTGTCCTCCCACTAAGCTCTCTTAAGGTAGGGATTTTTGTCTTTTTGGTAAAGTGCTAGGCATAAAGTAGAAGCTAAATAAATACTTAAATGAATGACTAGATGAATCTTCCACTCTTCAAAACAGCTATAAGCAAACAAAAGCTGATTAATGCTACAAAAGAAGCTACTGCTTTTTTAGTTTTTTTCTTTTAGCACACTTTTTCTGGTAGCTGGTGCACCTGTGGTTCACTTCTCCTTGGCTTTCTGATAGGATTAAGAGATTTTGACATTTCATTCTCTTCATGACTAACATGGGTCAACTGAGCAATCTAGCTAGCTGGATGTAGATCAAATAAGGTCACATGTGAAGGCACTGTGAAGTATAAAGCACTATGAGATTAAAACGTGTTATCAGGTAATTCTGTGTAACTGTATACATTAGTCTGGCTTTTTTGTTGTTGGGTTTTGAACCCAGAGCCTCGTGCATGCTAGGTAGGTGCCTTACCAGTGGGAAAATCCCTCCCCTTTTAAGACAGGGTCTTGCTAAGTTACCCAAGCTGGCCTCAAACTTGTGATGCTCCTGCCTCAGCCTGCAAAGAACTGAAATTACAGGTGTTGAGGTTTCATTTTGAGAGTATTTTTTGTGTTTATGTTTGTGTGTGTGCTTTTAAGGGAAGAATATTTAGAATTATCAAAACAATAATGGGCTGGGGATTTAGCCAGTGGTTCTGCTGTCTGCCTCGCAAGTGCAAGGCCCTGAGTTCAATCCCCAGTTCCAAAAGAAAAAAAAAAAAACATCTGCAGCCTGCCTCGCAAGCACAAGGACACAAGTTCAATCCCTGGTACCAACAAAACAAAACAAAACAAAAAAACCAAAAATAATAAATGTTGCCACAACATGTTTACGATAAAGTCCATACTCAGTTCTTGTTAGTGTCTTATTTGACTTCTTTTCTAGGAACTGAAGAGATTTGTGAAGTTTATAAAATCCTGTCCTCCTTTTGATGTTGTCATTGACGGGCTCAATGTTGCCAAAATGTTCCATAAAGTTCGAGAATCTCAAATGGTAAGTACAAATTCAATTTTGCTATTCTCCATCACCATAAATGTTTATTCTGTCCATTAGTGATCTTCCTTGAGGATCTTTGCTCTCCATTTTTTTCTTCCCCAAAAACTAAACTCTTAAATGTACCACAGTGACCAACTGTTCATCTCAAAGCCACTGTTTTTATGTAAGTGTTCTATAAACTAGGGAGTAAGAAATTAAGAGTTGAGGAGTTAAAAGAAAAACCACATCACAAATGGCCAGCCCTTTGTATAACCTTTAGCCTCTCTCCTCCTAGCCCTCTGCCCTCTTTGGTGTTGCTCTTTCATTTTCCTGCAGGTCAACCCCTCTGAAAATTACCAGTATATTAGGATATAATATCAAGAGATACTAGTCACTTGTTACACTCGTTTTTTTGTTTTGGTTTTTGGTTTTTTTCCTCCAAACATAGTACATTCATAAACTAACTTAAGCAGGTCTTCTTTCACACGGTACTCATTTATCAATTTACAAATATCCTAGCAGTCTCTAAAAAGAATATCATGATTTTTCATTGCAGCAATGAACAGTTATTTTATCTCTATTTTGTAGGTTAGAAAATTGAGGCTAATTTTATATAATAAATCCTTAGATAACAATCATACCATAAAAATTAAATGGTAAGCAACACTTGGATTTCAGGGTTGTGGCTCTTAACATTGGCAATATATGGTCGTTCATCTGTAGTTGAACTGTGTTGTTTCTTCAAAATTGCTGCCAACATAAAAGCCTTTTGTCAGAGATGTTACAAGTCCATTTTGGCCATTTACACTCAGAAAAGCTCACAAGTAGAAAAAAGGACAAGCTTGACTTACAGAAATTTTTTGATATACTTTTAGTTTATATTTGTGTCTACATTCTTGTGCTGAAGTATGTTTTTTATTTTTTCATTTTAAAAATATTTTTTTAAATAAATAAAAAAAAATTTTTTTAAATGTAAAAAGGAAATGGAATTTCTTTTCTTTTTGGTTTTTTGAGACAAGTTTTTACCATGTAGCCCAGGCTGGCCTTGAACTTGTGGCCATCCTCCTATCTCAGCCTCCCAAGAAAAAAAAAATTTTTAAATGTAAAAAGGAAATGGAATTTCTTTTCTTTTTGGTTTTTTGAGACAAGTTTTTACCATGTAGCCCAGGCTGGCCTTGAACTTGTGGCCATCCTCCTATCTCAGCCTCCCAAGTGCTGGGATTATATGCAGAAATATTTTGTATTTCTTATATACATGAGAGAGCCTTTGAGGTAGTAATATTGACAAAGGCTCAGTGTGACAGCACTGGGTTCAACCCCTAGTACAGAAAGAGAGAGACAGGGAGACAGAGACAGAAGGAAAGAGATAGGTTAGATTTTGTAAAAGTAATATGTGTTCAGGCCAGGGATTTAGCTCAGTAGTACTGTGCCTGCCTAGCCACAAGGTCCTGAGCTCAATTCCCTGTACCCCCCCAAAAAAGGTATTGATTGTAAAAAAATTTGGAAAGCACAGGGAAGGAAAAGCATATAAATAATCCTATTCAGCAATAATCATTGTCAGTGTTTTATTTCCTCCCAATATTTTCCTGTTTTATTTAATTGAATTCTGTGTAATAATTAAAACTAAATTTTAATTTACAGTTGTTCAAAACTCTGTATAAAAATAACATAAAAAGACTAGAAGAAATCCCATGTAACATTTGCATATTTGAGATCAGAAGGGACTTTGAAGCTTATAATAAAATTCAGGAGGAAAAAATATATCAATTTGCTAGACAGTAAAAAATACTGTAAACTGCCACCTGCCTCAAAAGTACAAGGACCCGAGTTTGATCACCAGTGCCTCCCAGGTGCAGTGTCCCAAGTTCAACCCCCAGTACCAAAAAGAAAAAAAAAAAAAAAATTGTTAGAATTTTTCTGATAATGCAAAAAATGCAGTGGGATTGAAGTACAGATTTTTAAAGCAAGGAAAGGCTGTTATGATTGATTTTTGTATTTTGAAAAGTTGGTATTGAACTTTAAATTTCTGTCTACTGAAAGCTTCTCCTACATATTCAAGAAAGTTGACTAACTTCTAGAATGTTATAATTGTAAGAAAAAGGAATCATCCAATGTGAAATATACATAAAATACAGTATTTTTCAGTCTGTCTTGGAGTTATACGTTGCTCCTAAAAGTGCTACAGAAGTGAAGAACATGGCTTCAGTGGAGGGGGTTGTGTAACATGTCACTGAGAGGATATATAGGACTCCTGTAGCCAAGAGTGCCTCAGTGTTTAAATGTTATTTTTTTATTTATTTATTGGTACCAGGGATCGAACTCGGGACCTTGTACTTGTGAGGCAGGCAACACAACCACTCACTGAGCTAAATCCCTGGCCCTTAAATGTTAATTTTAATTTCATAAAACTTATGGTATAGAACTGTGTGGAGTTTTTTAATGTATGATGTTTGCTTTTTGCTTAAAAGCTGTTTATTACCAAATTGGTGGTGCGTGTTATAATTTTGGATATCTTTTGTTCCTCAGTACTAAGGATTGAACCCAGGGCCTTTGCCCTGGGCCACACCTCCAGCCCTTTTTTTATTTTATTTTGAGACAGGAGCTCTCTTTGTTGCCCAAGCTGAGTTTGAATTCATAATCCTCCTCCCTCAGCATCCCAGAGTTCTAGGTTTATGTGCCACCATTCCTGGCTTTGGGTAACTTAGTAGTGATGAGGAAGTACAACTCTAGGATATACTGAACGATTTGGAGACTAAAGTCTCCATGTTTCACTTTTGGTATAATTTGGAGTCTTGATCAAGTTATGTCTCAGTGCCTTAGCATTTGCATTTTTTCTTTTATTAGGACTTAATATATGATAATATTCTACCTTTTCGAATTTACAGTTCAACTGGGTATGTGGCACACATCTGTAGTCCCAGCACTCAGGAGGCTGAGGCAGGAGGATTGCTGCAAGTTTAAGGCCAGCCTGCACTACAAAGTGACACCCTGTCTCAAAAAAACAAACAAACAAAAGATTTACAATTCAGTGGTCTTTAATGTATTCATGAAGTTTTACAATTATCACCACTAATTCTAGAACATTTTAATTTTCTGTAAATGAACTCCATACGGTCATTCCCATTCTCCCTTAGTATATCATCCCTAGTCTGCTTTCTGCCTTTCTGGGTTTGCCTATTTCAGATTTTTTTTTTTCCTTGAGACAGGTTCTCATTATGTAGTTCAGACTGGCCTTTAACTCACTGTGTAGCCCAGGCTGGCCTTGAACTCAGAGTGATCCTTCTGCCTCAGCCTCACAAGTGCTTGGATTAAAGGCGTGTCCCACTACACCCAGTTTACTGTGTACATTTTCTTCTAAGAGTTTTATAGTTTTAGTTTTTATATTTACAGTGTCTTTGATTTTAGAGAAACAGTCTAACCTTGGGTAAATGATAAGCCAACACAATTTAGAGTATAGACTAGAGGGAACTAACCTTGGCCCTTTCTAATTCATTTGTTTAATTTCTGTAAATCTGAGCAGCATAGGAAGACTTCGTACTTATCTTGTAGATTTTTAAAAATTGTGAAGTGTATCCTGCTTCATATATGTATACATACATCATGTATACATTTACATATGCATACGCAAATCTATGTGTGTGTGTGTGTATATATATATACATATGTGTGTGTATCTCTACATATATACATGCATATAGGCATAAAGACATATATTATGCAGAGGTAAAGTTTGAGGCCAGCCTTGGCTACATAGTAAGTTCAAGGCCAGCCTGAACCACATAGTGAGACCTTGTCTCCAATCAATCAATCAATCAGTATTTTAATTTGGTTTCAGGTATTCAGAAAGAAGGTTCTAGGTTTGTTTGTTTAAGAAGAGGCAAGGGTTTTGAGTAGTTGAGAGATGAATTGTATAGCTTTCACTTTGAGAAGGACAGTTAGAGTGTCTTGGCAGGGACGATGATGTTGATCCAGTTACTGTTTATTGAGTACCTATGCCTTGCCACTGCCATTTTAAACTCTGTGGGTATCTCTGTAAATATAAACCAATAATGGGAGTGAATGCTAGTAGCAGTATCAGGATAATAGTTGTATTATCTGAACAAGAAACATGTATTTTTTTATCCTCTTTTCTATTAATGATTCTTATGGTCATGTATGACTCTTACAGATTTCTTGTCAGAATAGAGAGAATAATAGGGCTGAGGATTTAGCTCAGTGGCACTGCTCCTATTTTGCAAGAACAAGGTCCTGAAAAAAAAAAAAGCTGGCATGATGGCGCATGCCTATAATCCCAGCACTTGGGAGGCTGAGGCAGGAGGATTGCTGCTAGTTTGAGACCAGCCTGGGCTACACAGTTCCAGAGCGGTCTGAACTACATAGTGAGACCCTGTCTCAAAAACAAAAACAAAAAGAATAAGGTCCTGAGTTCGATCCTCAGTACAGGGTCAAAGGGATAAAGAGTAATATATACCCAAAATACGCAATGTAAAATGTTTTTGGAACCAGGGATTGAACTCTTGTGCTTGTGAGTCAGGTGGCAGCACCACTGAGCTAAATCCCTGGCCAAAATGTTTTTAAAGTATTGCAAAATGGCTTAGTAACATTCAGTTTTCCAAAATATGTTATAATTTAGAAGAATTTTTAACTAAATTTTGATATGTTAATTATCCCTTGTACACCACTGGTGTTAGCTTTTATGTAACACTTCAGTTCATTATTTGGTACAAAATATAATGTTTTAAATTTTCTTAGATGAAATTTTTTAATATTAAGGTTCTTTGTAATGTAGTAAACTTAATTTTTATATAGTAGTTTTAGCTTTATGGTTTTCTTTTTATCAACAGCCATCTTACAGTAATATTTTATTTAGACTCTTACAAATACTTCTAAGAAAAAGTATAGGCTGGGGATTTAGCTTAGTGGTTCCGCTACCGGCCTTAAAAGTTCAAGGTCCCGGGTTTGATCCCCAGTACCAAACAAAAAAACAAAGTATTATGTAAATAAGTAGAAGTAGAAAT